CTTATGAGTGCATTCCATGCATAGATTCATCAGGTTAGGCATATATATATTTTTCTTCATTAATTGTAGGATGTTTATATATTATATTTGGAGTTAAAGCAGCTCGCCAGATGACTTTAATAAAAGCCTAGAGTTATTATCTTAGAATGGTTGGATTAGCAAGTATTGGGAACAGTGAATCAACTGATAAATCTGACATTTATTTAAAATTTTATATGCATTTTATTTAAATTAGTTCAATAGCTTATCAGATTTACCAGCCTTAGTTTTTGAAAATATTGTAATTAGGAATTGGTACCCCAATTGATTTTTTGAAATTTTCTGCTGATTGCAGAAGTATTTTTACTGAAGAATTTTTACCTCATGCATATGGTAGAATCATTTGGTCATAGATAATATCAGTAAGCTATTTCCTGTTGCTAACTACTATTTACTATTTCTTGTATCTGGCTAAATATTTTAAGAGATTTGAAAAGAGCTTAATTGTTACAGGCTTAATTTTTATATTTTTATTTTTATAACCTAACATCATCTCTGGGCTAGTTCAGATTATATCTTGTAGAGATATTGGAGGAATTTAGTATCTAACTGCAGATGTTACTTTAAAATGCTACACTATGGAATACTACTCTTATATATTAATCTTATTTTTACCTTTATTTTTGATATGGGCAATAATAATTCCTTTAATTGGGATTATTGTACTAAAGAAGAAAGTTAGAATTCTTAACTATTGCTCAGTTAGGCTATCATACGGTTTACTATACTCAGAATATAAGAAGCAAACATATTATTGGGAATTTGTAAAGATAAACCTTAAATTAATAATCATATTTATCAGTAACTTTTATAGTTAGCAAATTTAATTTAAAAACACTCTTTGCACAATGATTTTGTTTTGCTACTTAATGCTTTCTATTTTTAAAGCTCCTTACATAAATGTAAATTTTAATCGTACAGATTAATACTTATGTATTACACTGATTATCTGTCTTTAATTGAATCTTTTAGTAAACACATCAGAAAACGACATATAGTTTTAGATTTGCTCATTTTTGCTTTATGCTCTACATTACTTATTTTCCAGCTTTCTATAATATAAAGTT